GCTGAGAGGGAGTAGGGAGGAAAAGATTGTGGCTACAAAGCTTGAAGCTGCAACTGCTTAATGCCATCAACAGGAAGGAGAGCGGTTTTCACATGGTTTCTGCTTGTTACCATATATAATATGTATGTATGTATGTATGTATGTGTATATATATATATATATGTATGTGTGTGTGTATGTATGTATAATTTTTTTTAAGGCTAATATGCTGAGTGTCCTTCCCTCCATCCACGTAATGATGTCACGTAGCAACACCCGGCTTCCTCTCCCTAGCATTGACTAGCCTTCTTGCAGTTTCTTCAGCCCAGGAACACTTTACACTGTAACCAAATGTCTGTGAAGTGTTTTCCTGTGCCTCATCTCATTTAATCCTCACAGAAGTTCTGGAGAAGGAGACTCGGTGGAATTTTCTTTTCTTTTCATTACCCAGAAAACGGAGATTTAGAAAGTTTAGAAACTTGACCCAACTAAAAAGAAGTAAGAAATGGTGGACCTTGAAAATGACTTCAGGTTTTCTTACTGCGCAGAATATAGTCAAACACTGCTGCAGTTAAATATTTTACCCTTTGTTCTCCCTGTATGATCTACAACAATAATCTGCTTCCTGTTGATATTTACTGCTGTGGTGCTGACAATTACCTGGAAGAGAAGTTGGGGTGCTTCGCTGGGCTGGGAAAGGTTCAGCTAAATCAGAAAGCAGGACTAATTAAGCAAGTTTGTTCTAGATTTATAAAAGGCCAAGTTTACTCATGCATGGGCAATACATATAAAGATGTTGCAGGCACCAATTGCACATGTGTTTCCATCTGTCATTGTCGATCCTGAATTTGGTTGACACTTCTATTACAGAGAAATGGTGAGTAGCAATATTAAAATATTTCTTCTAATTAATTTCCTTTCAATGTGTATGAATTCATGCACTGGGCCACTAGTTATAAATAAATTGGCCACTTGACAGTCCATTTTCTTCTACAAAATAGTTGCATCATCAGAATATGCAGTACTAACAAACAACCCCACATTTTTAGTGGCTTAAAATACTGAAGGTGAGTTTCTTCTTGCTGGGAGCTCATTGGGTCTAAAGGGAGACTGTGTGATATTGCCCTGGTCCAGCCTCCCAAAGTGATGGGCCTCTAACATCTGGAACATGGCCAGGCAGCCATGGTCTGGGGAAGGGAATGGGGCAAATCCCACACCAGCTCTTAAAGGCTTTGAATAAAAAATGATTTATATTCACTAACACCTCATTGGTTAAAACAAGTCACATGGCCATATCAAGTTTCAAGGGAAGTGTAATCTGACTATGTGCACAGGTGGAGGTGAACCCATCTTGGTGAAGGCCCTGCTGGCTGTTACAGGGTTGCTGATACTTACACATTGTGCACCCCACACCCCACATAAGAAAATGCTGGATAGAAATGAGCACCATGTGAAAAGGATTGTGTTAATAGATTATGAAAGAATTGATTTTTTATTTTTATTTATTATTGACAATACTACAGGTATCTCTCACTTTCTCCCTTTGTGCCCCCCCTCTACCCAGCCCCCGTCCAACCCCAGGCCTTCCCCTTGCTGTTGTCTGTGTCCATGGGTTATGTATATATGTTCTTTGGTTAATCTCTCTATGGCCCCACCACCCCACACTGAGATCTGTTATTCTGTTCCGTGCACGGAATGGATGTCTCATCATCATTTTTTAAAAATGTCTATAACATACTTAAATTTCAACTTAAAAACCGTGCACATGTTAAGTGGTAATACCCTTTTTTCCTCTATAGCTGTCTTCATTGAATTATCTTCTTGAATGAGGCTTTACTGGGATCCCTGCCACAGGTGACCTTATGTGGAGTTGTGGTATCGCGCGTGACCTAGCCTCTGTCCTCGTCCAACCGAATACCCGCAATCCCAGGTTAAAGTGTTCTCACAGGTCTTGGAAACTCGTGGTGGTGAGAGGCCCCGATTAGTAACAGGACTAGAGGGTGATGACAGAATCAGGTCTCGCTTTACCAGGCCCATCCTGCCGGAGTGGGAGGTTGCCGGGGCAGGAAGGCACCCAGCGTGCACAGAGCGGCTTTGTCTGTCCCAGGTTCCGCCCCCTCGTCTCCTCCTCCTGCACTGAAGTGCCACATTCCTCGGGTTGGCTCCTGTGCAGTGTAAGGGGAGGCCTGACAAGGGTGTGTTGTTGGGCTCTTTGGCTCCTGCAGGTGATGACTTGTTTCTTCCCGTGCTTCTGCCCTCCCCTGCTCCCCGGCCTGGAAAGCCCAGGGGATTCTCACTGATGTTGAGATCAGCATTTCAAGTGCCTTTGGCCGTGTACAGTCAGTGTGCACAGAATGGGGAGGTTTTTAATGAGATACCTCTCGAGGGTGTTGATTTATACAGGTGAAACCTTAAATAAAGTCTTCTCAATCATTCATCCACATACAGGCCAGGAGTTTTAATAATGATTTCCCAGTATTCTCTTTTCATGGGGAAAGAAATCCTCAGGTACCATTCCACCATCTCTTCTACTCCCACCCTCACTTCGGTCCATGGCTTTATTGTCCAGTAGAGAAGGTGTGACCACCATTCCCTTTAGAGTAGATATCATAGTGACTCTCCCACCCCCCCCCCCGCCCCGCCCCAACCAGGGCACCTAGCACAGTATCTTAGATATCAATGGGAAATCAAAACATACCTGTTCATTTTAGAGGAAGCGTAGAATTGCAGAGGCTTTCTACCACTTTTAAACGCATAATTTTGGTAAACTATAGAAATGTAAAGGAGATATCTTTGCCATCAGCTAAGAAATGTCCCCCAATATAGTCTTGCTACTCCCAAATGAACCCCTTAGTTCTAAGTATACAATATAACTCTTTTTTATCCGTTTAGCTATAGGCACTTTTCCATCTGACTGAATCATCAGGCTTCCTGTTGTCTCTTGTTCATAATGACACCTTCCTGGCCGGCTTTGCAGTTAGAGCCAGGGGTAATGATGGCACAACGCCAGCTACATGCTCTTGTAGCCTGGTCATCACCCATCTGATCTCTCTGCAACCTGGGCAGCCCCATGTGGTCTTACCTTGGGGGCAGCTCCTAACAGTCAGCAGGGATGCCGAGAGTTGTCTTGGTGATTACCAATTGGTTATATGCTTTTTTCTAATATAAACACTTGCACCTCTCCATTTTTAAGTGGGTTTTATAATTTACTGTCTTCCTTAATGGCCTGTTCATCTGTAACAATGGTTTTCAACCTTTCTAATGCAATTCTTCATGTTGTGGTGACCCCCAACTATAAAATTGTTTTTGTTGCTACCTCATAACTGTAATTTTGCTACTGTTAATGAATTGTAATGTAAATATCTGTGTTTTCCGATGCCTTAGGCTCTATAGCAGCAGTTCTCAACCTGTGAGAACCTCTAGCAGGGTCGCCTGCTTAGGAAAGTATCACTCAGTGCTTCCACTTAGTTCCGAAGTGTTTGAGTTTGAATGGATGTTACTGGATGTTTCAGGCTGTCTCTAAGCACAAAAGTCATATCACAATTTCTCAGAGAGTAACTGTCTCACAAAAACCTGTAAGAAAGCATTCATCAACCTGGCTGCATCTGATCTTGTTTCTGGAACCCTGAGCAGCCCTCGGGATGTTTCCACATTAGTACTGATCAAGCCATTGTTCAGGGTCCTCTTCAGAGGTGTGGTCCTTGCCACGCTCTATACCAGTGTATACATCAGACTCCTGTGCTGAGCACCTGTGCTTCATTACTGGGATAGGCTTAGTGCAGTGTCCCACTTGTCTTTGAAGGCTTTTTATCCCTGTCCAAGGGCTTCTGCATCACACCATGGGGACCCCAGCAGGTTTAGGGAAGAGAGAGGACATTGAAGGCATGGATGAGAAGTCTTACCCTTGCCTGTCTGTCACCAGCCCCACAAGTGCAAAGCGGGCAAGTACCCATGGCTCTTGGCTTTTTGCTGAAAATGAAATAAAAATTCCTCTACTAGACAGGAAATTAATCAGGGCTGAACACAGTAGACAGGAACATAAGCTAGACTCCTTGTTCCATCCCTGACGAGTGTTTTATTATTGTGTAAATGAGATTAAATGCACAGTGACTGGTGTGGGGTTCTGAATAGGGACAGAAATGAAAGAGGTGAACAGATTCCTTAGGATTTAAACTCTGGCAACAAAAATGCTTTTTTATAGCATCTGCTGCCTCTTAGTTTATAAAATGCTGAGCAAGGGAAGCTCCTCAGCCTCTTTTGTCATTGTTTCTGCAAAGCATCCTTCAGGCCAGCCTGAAACACGGTGGTTTATTCATTCCATGACACTTCCTGGTCATCCTCGGTGACCCAGGCCGTGTGCCAGGTGCAGGGCTATTTCACAGAAACATCTAGTCCCTGCCTCCCAGGAGTTTCCACTCTGGCCTGCAGAGAACCAGCCAAATAAGAAATGGTGTCATATCACTCGGGATTCTTTGATTGAAAAGTCACTGAAACAGAACCCAACAGACTTCAGCAAAAAAGGAAGGAATGGGTAAACAGGAGCCTAAACAGCCATAAAGGAGCTTGGGAAGGAAGCTCTGGAGATATACGGACCAGGAGCGAAGGGACAGTCTCTTCAGGGCCCTCAGTCAGGTGAATCGACTTCTCGCACCCTCGGTCCATTCACTTAAGATTCAAATTCCCAAAGAAGGCATCCGAAGGACCCAGCTTGGGCCCCTTCCCCACTTCTTGGCTAAGGAAAAGAGGAGGCTTGGCTAGTCCTACGAGGGTTATGTGCGGTGGCAAAGGGATCTTCCCCCAAAGAGAGAATGGGTGGCAGAGAGGCCAGGACGCGGATGTTTACGTTGTAAAATTGCACTTCGCTGTGTCTCTCGGGATTGTTGGTCAGTGAGCAGGCATATGTTTTATCTTGGGCATGCTCGTTGTTGAAGCTGTGATGAATTGAGGCTACACAGCTTAGAATCACTAGCCTATAGGTATGTCAACTCATCGCCCTTTCTCTCTTGTTCTCGTGATTCCAGTGTGAGCAGTCCCACCTCCTGAGAGAGCATGAGGATGTCCAGGAGCGGACGACGCTGCGCTACGAGGAGCGCATCACGGAGCTGCACAGCGTCATCGCGGAGCTCAACAAGAAGATAGACCGTTTGCAGGGCACCGCCATCCGGTAGCAGCCTCCGCGCATGCTTTCTCCCTGCCCCTCTGCGCTGTAGCCTGGGTCTCGGAGTTGAAGTCACCCCTGTGAATTATGACTTCTACAGATGATACAGTAGTTTTCTCTTTGTTCCGTTAGCCACGCACTTTCCCCTTATTGTTCTGTTCCTCTTAAGGGTGATAGGCGGAATCCTCTGTTTATTGATAAGGGCGTGGAATCAGAAGTTGAGTGAGATGCTTATCACAAGTGCCACGTGGAACCCCTCTTCCTGAGAGACCAGTGTCCCTCGCACGCATTTTAGTCACCAAGTCTGCTCTCGGTCTGTAAACTGTGGGCCTCCGTGGGGATTTTGAGAGGTTTCGGGATGAGGCTTATCATGTAGGCTTCTAGGTGAGCTAATATTTTGAGCGTACCTCCAGTTGATTTACCAACACTGGCTTAACCTCTTGTAGACTCCTAAGGCGGAGACAGGATTTGATCCATCAGTAGTGAAAAAGTGGGGGCGTAATATGAAGGGACTGTTTCTTCCTTGCTTGTCGATCAACTGGTCCCTGCGTCTCCTGCACACAGCCCGTGTGCCCGCCCTGCTGTTCAAGGGAGAGGTTTGCTGTAAGTGATGTACTGAGCCAAGGATGAGAACTGTTGTTTTCCTGCCTGTGCCCAGGAAACAGCCCTGAAGAAAGCGAATGGTTGGCCCATATCTTTATGGAGAAAGAGAGCTTTGTTTGCTGAATGTTTGCACAAGCCTCATTTACAAGAGTTTTAGAGGCAGCTACTCTAAACTCTTCCCCTCAAAGTCCTGCATTAGAAGAAACTTGGGATGTATTTTGTTCCAACTCTTGGGAGTCGGAGTAATGACAGGGCTCCTTGATGAGGGCCCTGATGGGCCTGTGTTTCCTGGGCAAAATCCTGGAAAACTTGACACTGAACTGGAGCCACACAATAAATTTCATATTCCAATTTAGAACTCCAGACTTTTAAATTGTATCCTGGCCTTCGGAGTGATTGCAGGTTAGCAGTGCCTGAGCAGAGAGGAATTTTCAGCCCAGAGAAACGATTATAGCGGATTTAAAGGAGGCTGACAGAGTAAATTGGCAGATGTGTAATTCTCATTAAAACATGTTGCACTTTCAACACTTGAAGATGAAGGCAAATGGGCTCAGTGAGTTGTGAAAAAATGCATCCCACATCACCTGGATGTTTAAATTGAATATATAGTGGCCAAACTGTTCCATGTGAAAATACAGTTGAGCTTCTAGACCGTAAACATTTATGAGTGCCTCTTATTTGAAGGAAAATTGCATCTGTGCAGATGTCACATTAAACTCTGCCAGTTTTCATTATGTAAATGAGCTGACCCCTGCTTGCGGGGCCTCCCTGAAGGGCTGGGAGACACGCGGGCACGAGGGCCAGTAAGACAAGGCTCTTCTTGTCCTCTGAACTCCCGCGGCCAAGGCACCGCCCCAGCCCCCAGCACACCAGGAAATTGGTTCGCCCTCAGGTCCTGAGATTCTATGATAGGTTCAGTACAGTAGCAGCCAGACACTTGGACAAACGCTAACTTCCCTAGCATAGCCAGGGTCTAGAGATTTGATTATCATTATGGTCACGTACAGTGCTGACTTGCCTTCACTTCAGTCTGGGTCTGACTTAGGAATTTATTGGAAAAGCTGAAAATTATTAATAAGGGAATAGTTTATGTAAACTATGATATATCCACACTTAAGCAGTCAGAGTGGGGATTTACAAAGGTATATTATTAGTCAGCTCAGGCTGCTGTAACAAAATACTACAGATTGGGTGGCCTAACCAACTGTGGAATTTATTTCTTACCGTTCTGGAGTTTGGAAAGGACAAGATTAAGGTGCCAGCCACTTCAGTTCCCATTGAGGACTCTCTTCCTCATTTGGAAAAGGTGGCCTCACTGTGTCCTCACCTGGCAGGGAGAGGGCTGAAGCAAGGTCACTAGTCCATTGAGGCTTCCACCTCAGAACTTTATCAAACCTAATTATCTTCAAAAAATCCCACCTCCAAATACCATTACATTGAAGGTTAGGCTGCAACATATGAAGGGCAGGGGTGGCGGAGGGCACAATGCAGTCCATAGCAGAAGGTCAGGTGACAAGTACATTATGACCTGAATTCCTACCATGATAGACCTAACTGTACCATTTGGGAGATAAACATGTTTCAGTGCCCTAGAGATACAGTAAATGCTCCCGATAAGCAATAGTATTTGGTGCTGCTATTTTTCTTTTTTCTTTTCTTTTCTTTTCTTTTCTTTTTTGGTGTGGGGATGGGGGGTTGCAAATGGTGGAATGGCTCCTGTCATTTATGTACTCAGAAACCCACTTTTAAAAGTTATAGAAGTCTTAGTTCCCAAGGAAATTATGCCTCCATCAAAGACTATCACAGTGGTTCCATGGACTGCCACCAGGCCCTTGGCAATGAAGAGAGTTTCTGTACTGGATGGGGTGAGTGGTCCTAACTATCAAAAGGAAATTGGATTGTTGCTGTATCATGGGGCAGGGAGGACTATGTTTGGAGCCCAAGGGATTCTCTAGATCCGTGGTTGGCAAACTGCGGTTTGCAGGCCACATGCGGCTCTTTGGCCCCTTGAGTGGGGCCAAAATACCACGGCCTGGGTGAGTCTGTTTTGAAGAAGTGGCGTTAGAAGAAGTTTAAGTTTAAAAAATTTGGCTCTCAAAAGAAATTTTAATCGTTGTACTGTTGATATTTGGCTCTGTTGACTAATGAGTTTGCTGACCACTGCTTTAAGTTAACTCCTAGAAATTGCCCAGTGGTAAAAACTAGTATATTAGAACAACTTGCAAGAAGGAAGTTATAAATACCAACTTAGCCTCGTGACCAGTAACAAATAAGTTGGTGAAACCTATAGTTTAATAGTTAGGTTACATGATATTTAGATGAATTTAACATTGAACTAGAAGAGGAATGATCACTTAACAATGGATGCAATACCTGATGGGACTTTGGGTCTCCCATTTTGAATGAAGGATGGTTACAATCCCCAATTTGAATGAGGATTGGTGTCCATTGATATTGCAATTGTAAAATTTAAGTGTAAGGGAGTGTATCTGGTTGTCTTGTAACCAAAGAGAGTAGACTACCATGAACATTGTCTGGACCTGGTACAATTCCCACCTCCTTTCTCTGCACTCCCCAGAATCAGAGATTGGGTCCTGAGGACTACTTCCCAGACTCTCTTAATTACTAGGTCCTGAATACAGTTTCAGCTCTGCCAATGAGATGCACTTGGCATGGGTTTGGAAGGCAAAAAGGGAGGTGGAAGCCATTGTCCCTCAGGCCATGATGGTGGCAGCTGATATACAGGCTTTGGTGACATGAGGTCCTGCATTGACTGGTCAGACCTGCTCTGGGCAGGTGTGAAAGCAGCAGCAGTTTCCTGACCTTAGAGAGTACCACAGCTATGATGGCAAACCTGGCAGCGCCTGGTGGCCCCCGTCCACCCTTCCCTTCTCCAGCCCTGCCCTGGTTTTGCTAGCACAGAACTGCCTAAGTCAAATCCTTTCTACTTGAAACATCCAATGTTGTTTGTATTCCTAGCTGAACCTTGCTCAATACTTCCTACTCCCATCTCCAGGAATAAACAATGACATTAGGTATATGTGGCCTTCTAAAGGAATTTAATTTGTGAATGTTTTAAACAAATCGGGTCATATAGCACACACTGTTTTGTAATATGTTCTTTTTCACTTAACGGTATATCATGAGTAGATTTTATAAATGCTCATCTGACTTATATCCTAGTAATGGGAAGAGGGGAAGGGAAAAATACATCAGTAGCTCACTTTGGATCTGGGGAAGGAGGTGTCAAAGCAAATTAAACATGAGATATCTTGTTTCCTAAGATTATTTTCTTTTTCCAAAAGCTACTCATAAGAGCATCAACCTTTCACTAGCAACTCTCATGAGCAGCCATGTTTTCTGCTGCATTCCCCACATGCTCACCAGCCCTCTGCTGTCTGGCTTCTGATCCTCACGGTTTGCCGAAACTCCTGTAGCTATGGACTGAATTGTGTCCCCGCCAAAATTCATATATTACAGTCCTAACCCTTTATGTGATGGTATTTAGAGATGGGTCCTTTGGGAGATAATTCAGTTTAGATGAGGTCATGAGGATGGGGCCTACTTGTTGGGATATTGAGCAACATTATAAGACGAGACACTAGAGAACACAAACTCACCCTCACTTCATCCCTCCCTTCCTTCAACCCCACCCCTTCCTGCCATGTGTAGACACAATGAGAAGACAGCCACCTGCAAGCCAGGAAGAGAGCCCTGACCAGAAACTGGCCATGCTGGCACTTTGGCTTGGACTTCTAGTCTCTAGAAATCTAAGAAAATTAATTCCTGTTGTTTGAGCTAGCCAGCCTATGGTATTTTGTTACAGTAACCTGAGCTAAGACACTTAAAAAAAAAAAAAAAATCACCGGTGATTTCTTAACGGAAAAAAACCATGACTTTTGCTTGTTACTGATCCTTTTCTGCAGCATTTGACCTTAAATCTTCTTTCCTTCCTGGTGTGTTCTTTCTGGAAGCTCTAGGACCCTATAGGTCTTGGGTCTTCTCTTCTGTTCCTGAGATCCATCCTCAACCTTGGCTCTTACCCTGGGCTCTGTCCCTCACCCCTTTCATCCTGAATGACCGTAAGCCAGAGAGCACTGACCCATCCTATCTGTATCACCTGGCATTGGCACTTAACCATTCTGCTTCCTTGTCCGCAAAACGTTCCTCATTTGGGGAATGAAATACTACCCAAAGTTTCCCTCTCTAACATAATTCCATCTCTGAGATCTCAGGCCTGTATTATGAACCTGGCCTTCCTTCTGATCTTTCAATCCATACATTGACCTGTGTACCGTGTCTGTCTGTCTAGCTTCACATTTCTCCATCTTGAACAGTGTAAACAAAGCCTCTTTATCTCCCAGCAAAACATATTGTTTTGATTAATTTCTGGGCTAACAAGTAAAATATACTGAAATAACAATCCAGAAAAATAAGATAGATTTCTCTCTCTCTGTCTTCCTGGGTGGTTGACATACATATTTAGAAGTTCTTGAATATCGATCCTATGTCAGATCTTGTTAAAACTGGTATTTGTTGATGGCAAGGATGGCCAGCCTTTCAAAATCTCATTTGTTCAGTTATTAACTAAAGGATCCAAAGATGAGTCTGAGCCTTCTCTGTGCTGTATTAAAACATTAGAAGAGGTAGAATTAAAGAATCAAGACTTCACTTATTTCCTGATTTAGATCCTTATTAGAGAACAGAAAGGATTACATTTTCTCCTTATATTGAAAAATCTTTGTTCTTTAAAAGAATGATGGGCAATTCAGGGCAGTACACTTTTAATTGTAAAAAAAAAAAAACACACACACACACACACACAAAAAAATCCAGAATGTGGTTAGGAAGGACATAGGTGACTGACAGTTGCCAAGACAGGCAGATGTCCATATGGGTCTTGTTCAGAATTACTCGAAGCGACAAGGCATGAATGCACTCCCCCAGATTAAATAGATATGGACTTTGCTAATGAAGTAATATTTTTATCAAATGCTGCTGAGTCCACAGTACTTTAGCTTGAGGTCTGGAAAGCATGATAAGAATTGTACTTTCATTGACTTTTTCCCCTTTTCTGATTAGATCATTTTACCCCTGGCCATTAAAGAGAAGGAATCTTTAAAAATAACTGCAACAGCCTTGGCTAAATAGCTTAGTTGGTTAGAAGAGCATCATCCTGTTGTGTCAAGGTTGCAGGGTCGATCCCTGGTCAGAGCACATATAGGAGTCTTCTAATGAGTGTAGGGTGAGTGGAGCAACAAGTTAGTGTTTCTCTGTGTGTGTGTATCTCTCTCTCACAAATCAATTTTTTAAATTATTTTTAAATAATTACAACAAAAATTTTTTTTTTTCTTTAGGCTCCCATACTCGAGTATTGTTGTGTTGATACTACATTTAGGAGTTAGGCTGTTATACTCACTAATAGCATCATCTTGGGTAAGTTGCTTAGCCTCTTAAAGCCTCGGCTATCTTTTTTCTAAAACAAAGGTATTGTTTTAGAAAGATGGTCTTAGAAAGATAGACCAAAGATGGTCTCTAAGATCCCTTCCAGTTGGCCAGCCTGTGACATTTCTGCCACGGCAAGCTACCCAGGTGTGTGTGCAATCTAATGCCTGCCTCCTTAGAAGCGTTTTTCCCTTCGTTGTTTAAGCTAGTAGCAAGCACCAATTACTGTAACTCTAAATAGAAAAGCCGGGAAGCACTTCACAAGTGCTTGTAAACAGTGAATTAAATAATGTACATTTCGAATCCTGTGAAATGATCCTTTGTTCCTGAGAACTTTGCAATTCCATAATTATGAAACTACCACAATAGTGTGTAATTATAAACATTGATCAGTTTATCAAGCTTCATCGCCACACTAACAGTTGGTGTTCTTTGGGGAGGCACTTTTCCCCCAAGGAAGTAAGTTATCCCTCGCCAAGAGTTACTATATCCGCAACAGAAGTAAACAAACAATCAAGTCCCTTTGAGATGCTGATGCTGTGTCAGCAGCTAAACGTCTTTACTGGCTTGGTGACTCACTGCTGCACAAAACAGCCCTGAAAACACACCTCATATTTTTGCCTTTGTTAAGCTGCCTTGGGCTGCTGGAGTGTACTTGGCTTCCTGTTCTGTTGCTCTTGATGGATCAACTCCCCTCAATAACAAAAGGGAGGAAAAACCCCTAGCCTCAGTCTCCTACAGATGCTGCAACCCCAAATTGACTGTCACTTCCCTGCCCCGGCCTCCAGCCTTTTTTCAGGAGCGATGCCCATGACGATGTTTAGGTCAGAATAGGCAACTCATGATTTTTTCTACCAAAGTCAGTGGGAGAAACAACCACGTTGCACCCTTTCTGATGTTTAGGCTTGGTTTAACCTTCCTATACTGCATTCTCTGTGATACAGAACACTGTCTGCTCTTCTCACAGGGCAACCTTTTTTGTACTGTGAGATGCATTATAATTACTACTAGAGGCCCAGTGCACAAAATTCATGCACACATAGGTTCCCTAGGCCTGGCCAGCGATCAGGGCTGATCAGGGCCTTCCCGCTGCTGGCCAGGGCTTTTCTTCCTTCTGCGCCGCCCCCTGGTGGTCAGCACACATCATAGCGAGCGATTGAACTCCCGATCTCCCCATTGAACCTCTGAGGGGACACTTTGCATATTAGCCTTTAATATATAGAGCTAAGGAAGAACCCTTCATGCTCAGACCCCCCCTGTGGGATCAAGAATACAGACCTTCGACGCTTCCCTCTGCTTATGTTATCTGTTCCAGGCAAAATCTTGGCAATGTTTACTGGGAACCTGAATCCCTAGGCCTCACACATTTTGTCTTTATCTCTACCATCTAACCCTGATTATTTGACACCTTCACTACAATAAATTTTTTTTTTTTTTAAACAAGTGGCCTGAGTGAACCACCCCCGCCAGCCTCATGTTTCCACCCTGCACTCCATTTTGGTTTCAGCTACACCAAACCACTTACTCCTCTCCAAGCCTCCACGTATTCACCTTCACACCCCTGCCCTGTGCACTCCTTTATAAAGTTCATCCTAATAATCTCTAGAAGTAATTCCTTACAAAGCAGAAGATTTGGCAGGCGCTACATGTTTTGGAACCTGCCAAGCAAGGATGGTTTAAGGTGGCTTTTAAAGACTTTGCATGTGCCATTTATACCACAGATCAGCAGCAGCATTTACCTGGCTTTCTTAGCTATAAAACAGTCTCAGCCAAGCTGATTACATTGGACATGCAACAAAGATAATTTATTCATCATACACAAAATCTCCTGCTAATGGAAATCGGAATTTTAAGTGCTAATTGAAAGGAGAGCTAAGCCCTGGCCAGTGTGGCACAGTTGGGTGGACATCGTCCTATGCACCAAAGGGCTGGTTTGATTCCCAGTCTGGACACATGCCCAGGTTGTGGCCAGGAGGGGGGTGGAGGAAGGGGAAGGGCGAGGATATATGGGAGGCAGCTCATAAATGTTTTATTCTCACATTGAGCGTGCTCGCTCGCTCTTGCTCTCTCTCGCTCTCTTCCTCTCTCTCTTTCTCTCTTCTCTCTTTCTTCTCTCTCTTCCCTTCTCTCTCTCTCTTCCTCCCCCCCCCTTTCTGTTTCTCTAAAACAAAACAAACAAAACAAAAAAACAGTTTAAAAAAGAAAAGAAAGCTCATATATCAGGACACAATTATCAACTCATCAAACTTAAGAGTACTTTTTAATTGTTGTATTCCTAATTATTGTTAGTTTTGCAGGTGTCTAGTAATTAATTTAGTCATAGAGCATTAACCTATTTCTTTTTGCCTTCACTACACCCATTCTACTTCATATTTTGCACATTGGGGGGGGGGGGGCGCTTATATCTGTTTAACGTTAATCTAGATTCGGGTGGCTTTTATTAAGACTACCATAGGAGCAGGGGCTCAGCTGAAGTCCTTCCCTGGGAGGATGTGATTTGTTGAAAGAACGAAGAAATCTGAAAAAGATCTTCATGTTTCTTTAATTTTTATTAATTTTTAGATTTGTCTCCCAGCTTAAAAAGGCAGTTTCCTCTTCTCCAAGTTCCAGATTACCACTGACCATCTTGGTCTGCCCCAAACTCAGGACTGTAGACTTTCTGTGCATATGAATGCGCGCGTGCGCGCGAACACACACACGTCACAAACTTTAAATGCATGTCAGCCTGAGACACCTGTGGCCTTTCCAACGTCGTAATTAAATCCACTGACAATTTTCTCTTCTAGCTCACTTGCAAAATATTCAATAAATGCTTCAAAGAGAGTTAACCTTGCTCTCTCCATATCTGTGTCCAGTGTGTATACAGTGATGAGGGTGGTGTGGAGAGGAAATATGGGTGTGCCTTGAAATATATACAACTTTAAGTTTTCTCAGCTTGCTCATAATTAATTCAGAAACCAAAGGTCGAGGGATCCATGAAGGGCTGGGAAGGGGTGGATATTCTTGTGCTAATGAAACATAGCTGCATGTAAATATTGTCTTCCGGTTAGCAAAGGGAAGGAAATAGACCATTGAGTGGAATTCTCTCACTCATTGTTTCCACTATTCTCCCCACTCCTTCCTCTTTTCCTAAGCTCTAACTCTATCTACTTTCTTTGGGGAAATTAAGAGTGGCATTTTTTTAGACATGCCCCTCAAAGCATTCATTTTGTTCTGCATGGATGAGGTGCTGGCTTTCTAGTAGCTCTGGCCCCAGTACCTCTTCATGTCCTTTTCCAGGAAGGAGGCCTGCCATTGGGACCCTCCAGGCAACAGAACACTGTTTCTGTCCACCAGAGTCTTAATTATTTTGTTCACTGTAGCATCAGCGCTGGTTCTTTTTCACCTTGGAATATGAGGGGAGGAAGAAATCTAATTTCTTCAGGAAATCTTTGAAGGGGAAAAGTTTCTAGTAGGCTGATGGATGGATCTCTTAGCTCTATGGGTGTGTATGTGGACACGGCAACCTTTCAGTTTCATAGACCGACCATAGATGGGACCATCTATTTGGCCTGAAGAAACCCTGTTCCAAGAGGCGCCCAGGGGAAGGGGGATTATGGGAGATGATATCTATCTCTTTTCTCTCTGAATGTCTTTTTTTCTTGTCCTTAAAGGGCATATTCTCTAGGAATTTGCCTCATACCCCTGTAAGTGGAGGCCAACTCTCCTTTTTTCTCAGGGAGGAAGATGAGTACTCAGAACTTCGATCAGAACTCAGCCAGAGTCAACAAGAGGTCAACGAGGACTCTCGGAGCATGGACCAAGACCAGACCTCTGTCTCCATCCCTGAGAACCAGTCCACCATGGTCACTGCCGACATGGGTGAGTCTGCCTGCCACAAAGCCAGAGCCTGGTTTCTATAATAGGGATTTATAGGAATGTGAGGCAGCCTGGCGTAAAATTTAATTATGTTAATTAAGGAGTTTGGTGAGTAGATGAAGGCACATCCATTTGAGTCCCTTACCTACTACTGTGTTGGCCAAAATGGAACCAAAGAGTTGAATTCACTTTCTGCCCTGATGTTTGTGATTCATACATATGTCACCTCTATTTGAAAATCCTGGCAGGAGAAAACCAGTTATAATGGCTGCTGGAGTGCTCCAAGTTGCAATAACAATCAGAATTAGGATAGAAGGAATGGAAAGGCTAGAATGGGTGGTGACACATTACAGTGGAAGAACCAAAAGCAACTGTTGGGTAAGGAGGATCCAAAATGGCTCTAAGATGTTGATCCTGAGTGACTCAGAGATGATCATATTCCTCAGAAAGAAGTTTGATTGAGAAATCGTTGGGAAATAGATATATTATGTTTGAGGTTGCAGAGAAATGTTCATGTGGAAATATATGGTCCTGTGTGTTCGTATGATGTGTTTTTAAACTGCAGGTCATGACCCATTAGTGGGTTCTGGAATTATATGAAAAATAAAATATTTTTAAATGAAATAAAATGGGGAGGGGGGGATAGAATGACAGTATTGTTTCATGAAAATTATGTGTCACCTGTGTATATGTAGTAAGTTGCCCTATGAAATGTTCCAAATGTTGGTTGCAATCAAAATGTTGCAAAACCACTGGACTACTTGGGAGATGCCTAACTGGCTCTTTGGAGAGATTGCGGTTGAGGATAAAGGCTTTGAAGCTATGAAGTAAGCATATCCCTTTGGTCAAAGGGGTGGAGAGTCAAAATAGGGAGGAGAGCCCCATCTTAGGAAATGTTCACACGTAGGGGAGAGATGGGAGAAGAACCAAGAAAAGGAGGAGTAAGTGTGCTGCAGTGTTCATAGAACTTAAACTTTCATTGGAGACACTTGAATCAAATATTACACATTTATGTTTTATTACGAAACATATATAAGAACTACAACATTAAAGAACTTGGTACCATGAGAATGTATCAAAGGAATTGGGTTAAGTTTAGGGTTTTCAGGATAGCTTCATTTGAATGAGATCTGGAAGATAAGTAGATAAAAGAGAAGATGGCATTCAGGGGGCAGGGACAGATGCTTTCTAGGAGGTGAAAAAAGGATTTTCATGTGTGAAGGGCACAGAGGTGTGAGATGGAGGCTGGAGAGGCCGGCAGGAGCCAGATCATGCAAGATTTTGTAGACTGTGTTAGAGTTTGATCTTTCTTCAAAGATCCACAAAAACCAATGGAAAGATTTTAATCATGGGAGGGAGGGGAAAAGAAGACCAGATTTGCATTTTGAGTGTGTCATTCTGAACTAAGGAGAAAGAATCAGTGGATCAAGAGTGAATTGGGGCAGAAGCTGGTTTGGCTCAGTGGATAGAGCATCGGCCTGAGGACTCAAGGGCCCCAGGTTCGATTCCGGTCAAGGGAATGTACCTTGGTTGCGGGCACATCCCCAGTAGGGGGTGTGCAGAAGACAGCTGATCGATGTTTCTCTCTCATCAATGTTTCTAACTATCTCCCTTCCTCTCTGTAAAGAATCAATTAAATATACTTTTTAAAAAAAAGTGAATTGGGGAGGCCAACTGGGAAGCCATTGAAAAAGTGTAAGTGGGCAAAATTGTTGCTAGGATTTCGGGTGGTGGCATGTGAGATGTAAAAAAGCAGACTGGTATAGAAAGGGTATAAAATGGCACGATCTGGCTGAAGGATTGGGAATGGAGGGTGAAGGCAGTATGTAGGTGGCGATGTACCATGCATACGTGTCTGGATTAAGCAGTGGATGAACAGTGGGGTCAGTCACCAATACAAGAGCATAGAAGGAAGGACCAGGTGCCGAAACCGGTTTGGCTCAATGGTAGAGCGTCGGTCTGTGGACTGAAAGGTCCCAGGTTCGATTCTGGTCAGGGGCATGTACATTGGTTGCGGGCACATCCCCAGTAGGGGGTGTGCAAGAGGCAGCTGGTCGATGTTTCTCTCTCATCGACGTTTCTAGCTCTCTAGCTCTCTCCCTTCCTCTCTGTAAAAAATCAATAGAATATATTTTTTTTTTAATCTTTATTAAAAAAAGAAGAAAGGACCAGGTGGTTTTGCTTTCAATTTTGTCTTGTTTTGTTTGGGGGCAGGGTAGGGTGATTAGAGATCATGTGTTTTGGTTGGACATAAATTGAAGGCGTCTGGAGATAATCTGGGTGGAGATGTTTGTGAAGGCAGTAGGCAGTGATATACATAAGCCGGGAGGAGAGGTGTGGGCTAAAGAAAGCAGCTAGGAGGCATCCGGCTGTTTACAGACATCACTGAGGCAATGGAACTCTATGCGAGGAGTGAAGAGTAAGAGTGCCTGCAGACAGCATTGGGGGCCCCAAGCTGAGCTCATTGGCAGGGACGGGCTCTCCTCATTTTGGTCTGGGTTTAATTGCACATCCTTCAAAAGCATCTCATGAGCAAGTCCCTGTGCTGACGCTGTCCCCATCTGATCCCCATATCACATTGCAATGTTAAATAATATATTTGTATTTCTTTGCTTGACTGACTCTCCCACTAATCTCCACTGGGCAGAAGCATGTTTGTTTTATCTACTCGAGTCTCTCCAGAGCCCCACCACAGGGCCTGGCACTTCGTATGTGTTCAGAGATACTTCTTTAAGTGAATGACTGAAGCAGCCAACCAAGTACCACGCAGTCAGTCAAGCAAGCTATGTGAAGGCAATGAGGAGCGTGGTGTCCGGAAGCCAGTGGGACAGAGAAGGCTCAGTAAGGAAGAAGGGGTCAGCAGGCTGGGTTGCTGCTACAGCCAAATGAGACCAATTGAGCTACATCAGGGTCACTGAGAGCTGATCCCAGCTGAGCCAGGCAGAAATGAGGAGCTGGGACACCTCTTCAGATCTGGGGTCTTGGCTTCAGGCCTAAACTGTCTCCTTCAAACCTAACCCAGACCCTGGCCCCTCCCATGGGCCTAAGTCCTCCATGCTAAGTTATACCAGCTCATAACCTCTAAACCCTAGAGGCCCCCCACTCTGGACTCTGTCTTCCAGCCTTAGGCAGACAGACAAGTGCAAGCAGCCAAAAAGCTCCCAATTACTATGGAAGTCCCTGCATTCTGTGATTTTATTCTATGAAATAAAATGAATGGCCCATTCCAACAAAGCGTCTTAATTAAATGAGGTTGGGAAATGGAGGAAGAAAGCCACTTACAGGGGCTGGGCATCTGTACCATGGGCCTCCTCAGGGTCCTGACATGAGAGAGCATCTGTCCCTCCTTCCCCTCATTAAAAAAAAAAAATACACTGATTGGCCAGATTACTATGATCTCTGAACACTTAATAATCTGGCCACTCAGTGTATATCCTATATATTAAAAGGCTAATATGCAAATTGTCCTCTCAACCAGGAGTTCAACCAGCAGGCAGGCTGGCCAACCACCTATGTCCCCTCCCCCTGGCACGAACCCCCACCCATGCACGAACTCATGCACCAGGCCAGATTATTATGTGTTCAGAGATCATCATAATCTGGCCACTCAGCGTATATGTTCATTACGGCTGAACCTTGTCTGCCCAGTGCCTGTATACGTTCTCTGTCCACAACAGGAGGCATTTATTCATTCAGGAAGTCACGGGGAACTGCTAGGGGCTGGGGATATAAGACAGACCCTGCCATCAGGTGGCTGTACTCCCATGCTCCAATTCCTCACATCCAGAGTGACATCCTGACTTCTTACCATGACCTACAGGCCCCCCGAACCTGGGCGTCCCCAGGCTCTCTCATGAGGGGAGGGAGGGACAGACCCTGAGAAGTCCCATCGTAACGACACCCAGCCCGTGTAAGTGCCTTTATTCTCCATTTCCCAGCCTTATTTGAGTAAGAAACTTGGTTGGAGTGGGTCACTTATTCAAATTTCAAACCTCATCTTTCCCAGTATCCCTGTTTTTCTTTTAGCCTCTGACCTCACTGGCCTTCCTCACTGACCCTCAGTCCTGACCAGCCTCCCTCGCTCGGTGCTGCCTGGTGATGTCGCGTGTCTGCATTGATTTCGTTCCCTATCACCAGCCTTTATCACAGTCTCTCCTGCTGGACTGCAGCTCCCTGAGGGCAGCTGTCCTGTTCACCAACATAACAGTGCCTGCACACAGTAGGCAGCCACGGATTGGAGTAGCAGTGAATGCCATCTTGGAGCTCAGGATTCTTTGTGGATGTAGACAGGAAAACAGGGAATGGCCAGCAGTGGGGTCAGAACCACAGCAGAGGGCGAAGAGGCCCCCGGTGACTCCCTGGGATGGGAGCATTGGAAAGCGAGTCGCCCTTAATGTACATTCAAACTGAGTGAAGTAGGGGCAACGCAAGCGAGGAGCAGGAGGCAGAGGAGAGGGCAGCGGGCACAGGGCCCACACCTGCCGGGTCCCTGCGGAGGGAAGGCCCTGGGGACGGCAGGGAGGCTCGTTAAGGCTGCAGCAGAGCACAGTGCCTGCGTGTTCCTCGGAGCTGGACGCCTGCCTCCTCTTACTCCTCTGCCATTTTCCAGTTAAATTGCTTCGGTTAGGGAAAAAGCTTCCATATATAAACACCATTATAGGAAATCATTAAAAAGCAGCCATTTCATTATGGTTGCTATATCTGCAAACATGCATTAGCAGCCCGGAGGTTTCCTTGAGCTGGATTTTATATGCAGTTTGCCTTGGTATCTGTGCTGATCTCCATTTAAGAGTAAGTCAAACCTGTACCCATCACTGAAAAGGCACTTTTCTTTTGTTGTTTTAAACCACACCCATCGGAGCTAAGGATGCCTTTTCAGTAAGCTGGCACCTAAGCACTGCCCTGAGGACCTGGGGGCAGCAGGATGGGGGTGCAGAGGGGTGTAAGCCAGCAATTTGGAAAGTGTTTGACTTCCCTGAGCAGTCATGGTAAGGCCACAGCGC